CTCATTAAATTATGCACAAGTGACATATCCTACATGATTAAATATCATGTAGTCATAGGAATGTGTAACATACGCCATTTAGTTATAATTAGGATTTATTTTCTTGTTAAAGGTGGTGAAAATTTTGCAATGTAAATTATTGTGTAGCAAGTAATATAAAATCTTATCATATAGATTAGGTATCAAACTGAAATGTCTTAAATATGTTCTCAAGGCAGCTTAGTGAACTATTATTATCTAAGTATGTCATTTATACAAGATCACATTACATGTTTCTTTGATAACTCTTTGTTGACTTTGTAATACAATGGAATGAACTACTTGATTTAATACAATTGTTTAACAAACACATTGTTTGCATCATCTAATGATTGATAAAGAACTCAAGGTTGTCAACCCATAGGTATTTTTCTAGATGCATGCGTGACAATACAGAACTTATAAATTGTTTATACAAATTACTTATCATCAAGAATAAAAAGGAAAGGCTTACTCTTTAATCTATAAGCAAGTCAGGATGTTGGTTTGAAATGGATAAGTAAAGGCTAGGCTTATCCCTAACAAGGTTTAAAGCATTTATTCCTCTTATATCCTATTTACTATTTTTTAATTAAGTTTTTTGATTAAAACAACCGTGACCTTGAAATCAGTATTGATTCTTGAAATATAAATAAATCGATTGACAACTCATAATCAAATTTTACTTTTCAACATTAAGAAGTGTGCTAAAAGTGAAACCCGCATTGCTCACACCTTTGTTTAAAGAAGCATTTGAAAAAACAAAAAATTAAATAAAATTTTAAAGTTCTTTAGACAAACCAAAGCTCAATATAATAATTGTCTATATGTCTTAACACAATTTCTGTTTCATAAAAAATGTGCAACGATAGACAATTGTAGATACAATAATTGATCCAATGATGAAATTTCAAAAAATTCAAAAGTGTGCAATTTTCTAAAAAATTTCTAAGTAAGAACTTTTCTAAATTTCATTGAATTGTTGGAGAATTTAGAATATTATTTCAATATTAATAATTTTCATTTATTTCTATAAATAAAATTGAAAAAATTAAAATGATAGAAAAGTAATCAACAAACTAATTTTAATTTATTTCTAAAAATAAAAATGAAAAAAATTAAATTGATAGAAAATTAATTGATAAAATAAAAAATGGATAAAAGAGTTAAGAATGTAATAGATTGTAAATGTATTTTATCACATAATGCTTAATAAATTTTGGAATAAGTGGGGAATTTGACTAATTATGAAATTTTAAGAAATTTGTGTGCGTGAAATTTTCCTAAAATTTTCTATGTGAATAAACAATTTAAAAAATTAGAATATCAAAGATTTCCACTTTATTTCCAAAATAACAAAATTAAAATGTTTTAAAAATAAAAAATAAATTATTTTTGTAAAATATTTAATTACTCTAATGATTAAGCCTCTTGAAAGAAACGAATGTATTTTCTTGAAAATTATTGAAGTGAAAAAATTATTTAAAGGTTCAATCAACGTGTTAGAGAAAACATAAGAAAACTTTTTATATTTAAATAATAAATAAAGTAATGAGAAATATTAAGAAAAAAGACCAATTTAATTAAGGCTATTAAAGATAATATAAGATTGATTGATATCATCCTTTGAATGGTCATCGTTAGAATGTTAATACCATCCCTATAAACTTAATTCTGTAATATAAATCAAAGCTTATTCTTTTAAGATTTCTTAGTTAAACTTAAAATCATTTTAAAAGAATAAATTTATTTAAGTAACTAATTACACCTAATCAAAAAATTCTTGATAATTACTTTATTGATATTTAATGGTCAAACTCACATACTCACACATTATAACAAATATAATCATCATTGGTTTAATAATTATAATAAGGCTTACTAATAGAAAAGAGAATTTCTCAATATAGATGGGAAAAGTGATTATTCTGATCTTTAATGATTTTGAAGCAAGAAAACTTGGATCTCATGAATCACATTGGGGTCGATAGTTATCGTTTCTCCATTTCATGGGTAAAAATTTTGTCCAATGAGTTTTATTTCTTCAAAATAAATGTGTTTGATATGATTCTCATGCTAATTTTTTACGCTCAAAATTAATTTATCCAAAATGAAGAGATTTGGAAGTGTTAATATGGTTAGCATCAATTTTTATAATAAGCTCATAAATACTCTTCTCCTTAAAGGTCACTCTCTAGTAGTCTAGTTCTCCAACCTTAAAAGGATATAAGGGACAAAACTAATCATCAATTCCATGACTCGAATACTAATGTTAGCAAAATGATTTTAATTTCTTCTGTCCCACAAATCCAACCCTTCGGTCATTGGCTCATTGTGAATTCTATATAAAAACATATAGCAAACTAAAGTAAAATTCTTCAATTCAAATTGAGAAGAACCAAAAAGAAAGAGAGAAGAAGAACCTGATGAAGAAGAAAAATAGCTTTTCGAACAAAAGAAATTTTGCCGTTAACTCCTAAATTTCTTGCTACACGAGTTAAGTCCGAAAACTTAGAAGATTATATTCCAATAGCTCTTCTTCTGGTAGCAATGATACCTGATGTATACTAAAAATTTAAACGTAATAGTCAGAGATAAGTATTCAAAGCATAAAGCAAAATATATGTTCAGCAATCATTACAAAATAAATCAGTAACAAGAACCTGATGAGGAGGAAAAAAGCTTCTCACACAAAAAAAATTCTGTCGTTAACTCCTAAATCTCCTGCTATAATGAACCCTAAAACTCTTTCGAGTTAAAGTTCGAAACTCAAAAGATTGTATTGCCAACAGCTCTTCTTTGTTGCAATAATACCTGATATAAATTAGAAATTTTAACGAAATAGTCAAAGACAGGTACATAAAAAATGAAGCAAAATAAAAGTTTAGTAGGCTTACAAAATAAAGCAGTAACAAGAACCTGATGATAAGGAAACAGGAACTTTTCACATAAAGGAAATTCTGCTGTTAACTCCTAAATCTCTTGCCATAATGGACCCTAAAACTTTTCCAAGCTCATTCCTAAAACTCAGAAGATCGTATTGCCAACAGCTCTTCTACTGGTTGTAATAATACCTAATATAAACGAGAAATTGAAACATAATAGTCAGATACAGGTATTCAAAGCATGAAGCAAAATATATGTTCAACAAGTATTACAAAATAAAACAATAACTAGACCTACTTACGTTAACAATATGAAAGTACCATGCAAATGGACAACATAACCAAATATGGATGAAATATATATTCAAAAATAAATTTATAAGTATTAAAGAAAACAAATTTTATTGTTATAAGGAAACCAAGTTTTATTGTTACTAATTCATTTGCTCTTGTGCTTCATTGTGAGATTTATTGATTTCTAAATTTTTATAAGTAAATAGGTACAAGGATTAATATAGTAAATAAAGTATAATCGATTTCATTTTTTGCATATTGTCCTTTGTTTAGTTTTTTTTTTCTTTTCCTGTAATGGGCAACAACTTCAGTATTATGACATATTATACACTTTAAAATAGGAACATAAGGACGCAATAAAAATGCGATGCCACACAGATATGAATAAGTCGATACAATAATTTAAAAAAAAAAAAGACATGGATATGATAAAATATGATAATAAAAAAAAATTTATATATTTTTATGTAAAAATACTCAATGTATATGTAAATATCAATTTTTAATGTTTTATTTTTTTTCAATTTAAAATTTATTTTATTATATATAAAATATTCTTAATTATATAAGAAAAAAATTATTTTTAAATACATGCAAGATATTAATTATTTCAAAATGATGAAATAACAATATAGCTCAAACAACGAAATAATGTATTTAATCTTTTAGGAAGTGCGACAAGATATATTACTTTCTAATTTCATTTTTGTTTGCTTGGTTTTTTTCTTTTTCACTTTTTGGTTTATAAAAAAAAAGCCAAAAATCATGTTTGGTCTACTAAAACATGCCTACCCCAACCATAAGAGACCCACAGTATCCCTTAATTTTTCTTTTTTTTTTCTTTCCATTCTTTCTTTTTTTTTCATTTCTTCTTTTTTTTTTGTTTTTTTTTTTATTTTCCTGCTTTGTTTCCCTAGCTCCTACCGATTTTTGACAACCGCTCTGTCATCATCACCGCTATCGGCTGTTGCCCATCGATATTGAAAAGTTATTCAAAAATTATCGGTAAATGCATCTAACCTTTTTTTTTTCTTATCTAACAAGATTTTCCAAAAAAAAAAACAAACTTGAAATCTAAAAAAAACCCCGTCGAGATGGTGTGCAACTAGATTTTTATTTTTTTATTGTGTCCTAGCTTGGTATGTATGTATTTTACTATATCGACAGTGTGTTCGTGGCGAACACGAATACAACTTCGGTACAGAAAGAGTAACCGCATGTCCGTGCTTTATAGACATACGGTGGGTGAAGCCATAAGGCATGAGATCAGATCGCTCCCTTCTCCTCACTCTCCTCCTCCGCTATGTCATTGTAGGTGCTATTGTTCTTTTAGCTCACATATCACTTCTAATGAGTTGGAGTTACCTAATTGATGATCAGTTTTAAATCTTTTTACAAACATATGATTTCCATTTTAATATTTTATTCACTTCAACAAAAGCAGAACACCTCTTTAAAACAATTTTAGAAAATTTTGCAACATTTAGAACTTTAAAGAAATAAAACCTCTCCTTGAAGCAACACTTTCAACTATGGTATGACATCCAATTTCTACTAAGTTGATAAAGAAAAACGTAAATAAGAGAAGCTGCTAACTAGAAAAATTCCAACGCACCAAAGAAAGTTATCAATTAAATAACAAAAAAATTAATAACTAGCAATTACCATGTAAATGGAAAGTATCACATGCTTTCAAGCAAGTTTTACTATTATACCAAGAAAAAATTATATATTATTTTAAAATAAATTGTAAAAGAAAAAGAAAAAGCATACATGAAGCCAGAAAAAGAGAGAAGAAATTACAGTTTCAAGAGGCTTAAGAGAATTTTCTCACGATCGCCAGTGAGGGTAGGTCGAACGAAGAGAAAATGGTGAAATACGGAAGAATACTCTGGCTTATGGAGGTTTTGGATGGAGAAGGTAGAAAAAAGAAGAGCTGAGGAAGAAAAAGTTGAAGGCAAAGAAAGTACGCGGAAGTTTGTTGTTTGAAGACTTGGATTGCGGTCTTTGCAAATTAATAAAAAGTTTTAATAAAGTTTCAACAAATTAATTTGAAAATTATGGTAAAAAAATTAATAAAATTGGAATACAGTGGGAAAAATTCAATATTAAGTTTTTTTGGATTAATTAATTGATTAATTTTATCAAATTAAGCACATTTTACTTATATAATAAAATTCTTTAATTTTTAATTTGAATTTTTTAATAAAAATTTTACAAATTTTAGATAATTTTATCCTGATTTTTTCAAAGAATCCATCAAACTATCTGATTTCTTTAACCATAATTATGAACATAATTCTCAATTTATTTTTAATTTTCTTAATATAGAATCAAAGAGGATCTTTTCTCTATCAAGCTTTTTCTTTTCCTTTCCTGCGCCTGTTGATCCTCCACCATACCTTCTTATTGTGCGGGTTTAATCTTTTGAATGTATAGATGATATATTTAAATTTTATAACATGGGTTTAAATGAAATTTTTTATAACTTTGAAAAAAATTTAAATAAAAATATTTTAAAATGCATCAATTTAAAAATATTAATATTTATAATAATTTTAAAATAAATTATACATATTAAATCAAATTTGAATAATTTAATACCGATTGACTTGTAAAATTAATAATATTTATATATAAGTATTATATATAAATAATAAAATATAATATTTAATATTAATATTTATAATTTTATTAAATTTAATCTAATCAAGTGATTTAATTGAATTATGAATTGAATTCATGAACTCAATAACAAAAAATAAGATTTAATCCATTAAATTGAAGTTAAATTTTAAATATTTTATTCAAATTAAACTCAAATTAAATTTAATAATTTATCAATTTAATCTGAATAAATCTTAATAAGAAGCAAATATTTTAAGGAATAATGGCAAACCTAGTATCCAAAGATATGGAAGAATCAATGGCAAATTTAGCAACTCTTGTTCCAAAACTTATTGAGAAATTAAATTCTGTCAAGGAAGAATTGTTCAATGAATTTAACAATTCCCTGTGACTTCCATAATAGATCTAAATTTACAGCAAACGGAATTTCAACCATATACGTTGCAAAAAAAAAAAAAAAAAAGCTGAAATTAAAGTCCATCCGAAGGGCAATAAAATTGTTGAGGACAGGAGTGAAAATCAGTACAAACTGATAAGTCACCAAAAACATGAGGTACTAAATGTCAAATCGTGAAACAGAGAGGCATCCAATGCCAATAAAATTTAAAAAAGGAGAAAGACACTACACTCCCTCAAATTTACAAGATAATATTCATGTGAAAAAGAAAGGAGCTCGCGTAAAAACCATTCCTCATTACAAATTTAACTCAGAATAGATATTGCCAACCCGTGAAAAAGTAGAATTTAACGGTCGTACCTATTGTCAGAAACAAAAAATAATTTCGAGCCACTTGAACCACTCATTTATAATGACATACAATTGTGAAGATAAGAGAATCAATTATTTAAATATATTATGTAAGCAGTGATGTAAAAATTTTTCTTTTAAACGAGGATATTAATTTAAATTTTAATTTAATTAATTTATAAATTGTTTTTAAAAAATAATATTTATAACATTTTTTATTTCAAACTTAAACTTTGTTTATAAAAAAACTACTGTTTGTATTTTGAATTTATAGAGTTAATTTTTTTGTTGAAAAAAATTTAAAAATAAAAAAAATATTTTATCTTAATAAAATATGTAGAATAAAAGTGAATACGCAAGAATTACAATATGTAGTTAATGGTGAAAAAAATTAAAATCAATTTAAAATCATAATGTTGGATTCAATTTAGATCGATTTTTTTATTTGATTTAAATCAAATTTAAATATGAAATACATATATTAAGTTTGAGTTGAATTTAAAATCTGAATATAAAAAATAAAATAAAATAAATATCGAATCGAATTATATATATTTATTATTTTTTTATATATTTTTAAGTTTTTATAAAATAAAAATAATTATTTATATAAATCTATTTAAATATATTAAAAATTATATTAAAATAATATATAAAAAATTAACAATTAAATTTAAAAATCAATGAACCAAACTAAATTGATAAAATTCGGTTTAGATAAATTGATTCTAAAAAAAAATTAATTTAGATTTAGATCAAAATTTTAAAATTTATAATATTATACTTTCTAAAAAAAGGAACTAAATCCAATCTAATTTCAACCATTATTACTTATAAAAAAATTATTGCCAAAAAAAAAAATCATCTCCCAATCATTTTTTTTTTTAAATTATCACCCTTCATTATTTTGCTCCCATCATCATTCTTGCTCTCCACTGTATCATTTCGCTCCCACTTAAATTCCTAATTTTTTTATTTTAAAAAATACATAGATGATATATTTAAATTTTATAAAATGTGTTTAAATGAAATTTTTTAAAATTTTGAAAAAAACAGAAAATATTTCAAAATGTATTATTTTAAAATATTAATATTTATAATAATTTTAAAATAAATTATATATATCAAATCAAATTCAAATAATTTAATACCACTTGACTCATAAAACTAATAGAGTTTATCTATATATATAAATATTATATATAAATGATAAAATATAATATTTAATATCAATATTAAAAATTTGACTAAACTTAATGGAATGTGATTTAATTGAATTATGAATTGAACTCATGAACACAATAACAAAAAATAAAATTTAATTTATCCAGTTCAAATTATATTTTAAGTCTTTTATTTAAATTAAACTCAAATCAAATTCATATTTAATAATTTATTAATTCAATTTGAATATATCTTAATAAGAGTAAATATTTGAAGGAATAATGGCAAACCTAGTATCCAAAGATATGGAAGAATCAATTGCAAATTTAGTAACTCATGCTGCAAAACTTATTGCGAAATTAAATTCTGTCAACGAAGAATTGTCCAATGAACTTAAAAATTCCATGAGACTTCTATAATAGATCTAAATTTACAGCAAATCAAACTTCCACCACATATGTTGAAAAAAAAAAAGCTGAAATTGATGAATCTATTAAAGTCTGTGCAAAGGGCAATAAAATTAGAGGACAGGAGTGGAAATCGGTACAAACTGGTGAGTCACAAAAAAAAAGGACGTACCAAATGTCAAATCTTGAAGCAGAGGCATCCAATGCCAAAGATAAAGTAGTTACTTTTCAAAAAGAAAAGACAACAGACATTTAGCGTGTCCATCAACAGCAAGGATAAAGCAACTGCAGCTGCTCAGATTTACAAGATAATATTTATGTGAAAAAGAAAGGAGTTCGGGTAAAAACCATTCCTCATTGCAAATTTAACTCTTAACAGATTTCACGGTCGTACCTGTACTCGGACAGAAAAAAGTCGTTTCTAGCTATTTGAACCACTCATTCATAATGACATACAGCTGTGAAAAAAGAGACAATCAGTTATTTAAATATCTGATATAAGCAATGATGTAAAAAATCCTCTTTTAAACGAGAATATGAATTCAAATTTTCATTTAATTAAATTATAAAATTATTTTTAAAAAATAATACTTATTATAGACATTCAATTTTGTTCAAGTCCGAATCAATTGGACTTGACCTAAATAGGTAAGCTCAATTTGATTTTTATCTTGTATTATTTTTATTTTTTTTCTTTTATGTTTTATGCATTTTATTATTTATTTATTATTATTATTATGTATTAATATATGTACATCTTTATTTATCTATTTATTTATTTTATTTTATTTTATTTTATTAATATTTATATGTATTTTATTTATATAGTTATATATTTATATTATATTATTTTTTTTTTATCTTGTAATATTTTTTGGGTTTATCTTATTTTATTTTTAATTATCTGTTAATTTTATTTTTATTTATTTATCTGATTTTTTCGATTATCTGATTATTATTTTTTTCTTTTCTTTTTTTGAGGGCTGTGATTGAAAGCTGAAGAATCCTATTGTGAATGGAGATTCAATCAGAAGAGTCCAGATTGAATTCAAAGATTGAATTCCTGTCCAAAGAGGAATTGGGATTGATCAGGAACTCCTGATCAATCCCTATAAAAGAGACCCTCTGGGAACAGAAGCAGAACACACAGAGAAAAAACAGTGACCAAAGCTACTGATTTGAGAGAAAAGGAGGCGTATAGAAAGCTAAGAAAATGTTTAAGAGTGTTCTGAGAGTTAGTAGAATTTTTTGAAGATTTTTTGACGATTTTTTTCTGGGAATTTTTGGAAAATTCTAGATTTCGGTTGAATTTTTCGACGAAGTTTAAATTTTTCGACGAAGATTCCGGCCAAATTTAAAGTTTTCGACGAGTTGCCCAGTTTCCGACGAAGAATTCCAGAAACCAACAACCTTTCGGCCAACTTTCGGTGAACTTCTTATGAAATTTTCCAAATTTCGATGATATTTTCCAGAATCCGATGAAATTCAACTGGAGTTCTTCAGCCTTTAGAGAGAAGGGAGAGAAAGAGGGAAGAAGATAGAGAGAAAGGAAGAGCTTTCTGTCGAAAAACAGAGGGAAGGACCTTATATACCCTTCCAAAACGACGTCGTTTTGGCCTTAAGTGACCCAGAGGATCCGCGCGTTTTATCGAGACCCGATCCGACCCAAGCGTCGACTCGCTTCCTGACCCGCGCGTGTCTGCCCCCCTCCGAGCCAAGCCGAGTCGAGCCGAGCTTCCCAAGCCGCCCCCCGAGCCGTTTCTCTTCCTTGAGCCGAGCTGATAGCCGAGCCGCTCCAGGCTTTTTTTTTTGGAATTTTTTTATTTATTTGTTTTATTTATTTATTTATTTTATTAGATTAGATTTATTTAATATTTTTTATCTTTATCTTATTTTTATTTTTGTTTTACTTTTCTTTATTTTTTATTTTTATTTATTTTCACTTTTATTTTGTTCTATTTTCTTTAAATAAAAATCAAAAAGTATTTTTGGGGAAAAGTTGAAAGTATCAATTTTCCTTGGAAATCA